TTCGTATCTTTTCTCGATCGTACCCACTTCTCCAATTATTATCGATATAACAGTAGTTTTAATACGCCACACTTTTCAGCTTCAGTTACAATATACTCATATTTACTTATTTTGACATATTCTTTACCAGATAGATTCTCGTCTGGTCGCGCTACAATGCCAGCTATGAGAAGCCATTTTCTGTCGTCTTTAATCTCAATGCCCGGTCCATCAGATTTTATATGTTTGTCAGTGTGAATAGTAAAGACCCAAAGAATAGTGAGTTCATGATCTTCTAGATTCCATTGAATATACTGCCAAATCATATCATGACGATATTTATATTCTTTCTGTGTTAAGATTAGACAACTAGACTCTAAGTGATTATTATTATTATTATTATAGCCAGTTTTCCTGATTCGCTGTTTCATACAATTATTTACCAATACCTTTAAATGAGGCCTGAGGCAAAGGAAATTTTTTCCTTGAAGGTTTTGCGCATAACACATTGTGCGTTGTATTGAGTATTTCAGTGGTGACCATGAGCAGAATTATTTGTATCTCAGATCGTGATGGGTTTCCTGCAATTTTCTTAGATTAGTATTCTTTATAATCATTCCTGGTACTCCTGTTATTACTGGAATAGTGGTTGAGTTTAAATGTCATATTCTTGCAATTTCTATTTCCAGGTCCTTATATTTTGAAAGTTTGTCTATTGGCTTTTATATTGGCTTTTATAGCGCGGTTGGAATTTATAGAGGCAACCCAGAGCATTGGAGCATTTTATTACTGGTGGTTATTATTATTATTATTATTTGTCTATGCTATGTTTCCTGTTTTTGTACTTGTAGAGCCGGGTCCAAACTATAGTCGTTAGGCCTTATAGGAGAATTCTCATTTAATTGATAGCACTTTTCTTAGTATATGGGATGTTCCTAGTAGAGCGATCTTCTGGGCAACTTGTATGTTGATGTTACCTGAGACACTGTTAGTAAAATTTTCCATTCCTTTTCTCAGGAGGCCCAGAGCTCCGATTACTATTGGTACAGTTTCAGTGTTCATTCCGCACATCCTGTTAATCTCGATCTCCAGGTCCTTGTATTTGGACTATTTCTCGATAATTTTCGTGGAGGTGTCAATAAATATTCACTTCCTGAATTTCTTGTCTTTTATGATAATATCAGGTCTATTGGCATTTATTTCCCTATGAGTTTGAACTGATATGTCCCAGAGGATAGTTTGCGCTTTGCCCGGTTTACCGCTGGCGTGTTCACGACCATAACTGAATTTATACACAAAGCACTTGACAATAACGGAGAAGCTCAAGCCTTAGCTCAAGATATCTCTAAAGCGTTTGGCACGCTGGCCTTCTTCGTAAGCTTCAGGGAGACGGCATTACAGGACGATTATTTGACTTAATACAATCATTCCTGTATAACTGTGAAATGAAGGTTGTCCTAAATGGGTTCTCCTCCAGTTCCTTCATACGAACGCTGGTGTTCCCCAAGGCTCTATCCTGAGTCCTACACTGTTTCTGATCTTCATCAATGATTTTCCTGATGTCATCATTTCCCGTGTTGGCATCTACGCAAATTACAATACTATTTACTCCTGCTCAAATCCGGCATCGCTGACAAAACTAACTTGACCGTAGGTCTAGGGAAGGACCTTCAATCTGTGGTTGACTAGGGCAGGAAATGGCTTGTAAACTTTAATGCCTCCAAAATGAAACTGCTATCATTTACCCACCATAGAGAACCCTCCCTGCCTCCCATCAGGATAGCTGATGCCCAAATCCACGAGAGCGCCTTTCTGCGCCTGCTTGGTCTCACGCTGCCCACTGACCTGAAGCGGGATAACTACATTGAATCTATAGCTTCATCTACCGCAAGGAAAGTTGGTTCTCTGTTTCGCGTCAGAAGGTTTTTCTCATCTGAGTCCATCCTTCAAATCTACAAATCAACCATTCGTCCTTGCATGGAATACTGCTGCCGTATATGGTCTAGTGCTCCCATTGTTCATCTCGAGGTCCTTAACAGAATCCAGAGACGGATATTGAACGTGATTGGTATCTCGTCTACAGTCACTCTCTCACAGGCGTGCTGTGGTTTTCCTCTGTCTATTCTCCAAGTACTTTCATGGCAACTGCTCTGACGAGCTACTTTCACTTGGTTCTCAAACTGCATGAATTTAAGCGTGCTACTAGGTTGGCATCTCGGCCCCACCCTTTTTACTGTCGAAACGGTTAAATGTAGCCATTTCTTCTACTCCAACAGCTTCCTATCTCGCGCTTCCCGTCAGTGGAACTCCCGTCTTATCATTTTCTTCCCTGGTAGCTATAATCTTCAAATATTCAAATGTAATGTCAATTGACATCGTTTGACGCCTTGACCTTGATCTCCGCCCTTCTCTTTATCCTTTTCCAAAACACCCCTCTTTCCTCTCTCTCTGTCTCTCTTTCTCTCTCTCTCTCCCTCTCTCCCTCTCTCTCTCTCTCTCTCTGTGTAACCCCTTGTGTGGTAGTGGCACTCCCGCCTTGCTTGGGGTGATTTGCTTAAAAAAAATCTTACAGTGCACATATGTCGTTACCCTGCTGTCTGTGGGTATATTCATTTTTTGCTAGTTCCAAACATCCTGAGATAATATGGTCGACAATTTCATCATATTTTCCGAAGATCCTGCATTTTGGGTTAGTTCTATCCTTGATTATGCGACAGTGATAGGATCTGATTGCGAGGCTCTGGTCTTGAGTTGCAATAATTAAGCCTTCTGTGTCAACTTTCAACCCGCCGGTGCACCTCAGCCACTGATGTGTTTTCTGTTGTTCCAAATCTGCTTCTTTCATTCTTTTTAGGTATTTGACATGCAACGCATTGTTCTCCCAGTTTTGTTTTGTTTTTTTTTTTAATCTAATTTCATATAGCCAAGTTGTTTTGCTTTTTGTTTTACTCGTTTGGCGTAGATGGTATTTGCCTTGTTTTTTGTCGGTAGAGATTCAAGTATATTAAGCTGTTTCTTGAAGAGTGCATCTTCTTTGTTGATCGAATGGATTTGGTATTTTATTATTTGTAGGAGAAGGTCATTGGGTTTTATGAGGTAGGCTTCCAATCCGATTGTTGTAGTTTTTAGAGTTAATTCAAATTATTATTATTATTATTATTTTGAGGGTGTGTCAAAATTTTTCTTCTAGCTTATTACATGTAAGCGTAAAAATGACCTGTAGAACTTGGGTCTGTTAAAGGATAACAAACGGACATTTTGAAAATCGCCTTTTATGAAACAGTCTGTTAATGAGCATATAATAAAAAAAAATCATTGGTTAACTGTATCTGGTTGGTGGTCATACTATCTCTCAATGGTCTCAATTTTGTGTTTGTTGAATATCTTCCACTACACATATGTCACTACCTTGTAATGACTCTAGGTATATTCATTTGTTGCCAGTTCCGGACATCTTGAGATAATATGATCGACACTTTCATCATATTTTCCGCAGATCCTGTCCTTTGGGTTAATTCCATCCTTGATTATGTGTTAGTAATAAGATCTGGTTGCTCGCCTTTGGTCCTGTCCTGCAATAATTAGGCCGTCTGTTTTTGTTGGTAGGATTTCAGGTATACTAAGCTGTTTCTTGAAGAGTGCAGCTTCTTTATTGATGGAGTGGATTTGGGGTTTTACTATTTTCAGGAGAGGGACATTCGTTTTTTGTGAGGTATGGTTCCAATCCGATTGTTGTAGTTTTTAAAGTTAATTCAAGTTGGATTAGAACTCAGCCTCCTAAAGCTCTTAGTACATACAGTCTATCAACATCTGACTTGGAGGGGGGGTCATCCTCATTGTTATTATTATTATTGTACTTACGATTAATGAGTTTACTTATAAAATCTCGAATCGTTATTAATATAAGATTAATTTGGAAATTTACATTATTTTCATTCGAACTACAGTCTTCATCGTTGTTGTTATTATCACAAGGTGCTTGTCGATCCGGATAACCTTAAGAGAATTTCAAACTGAATCCTATATTTAATTTATGGGGGTAACGTTGTAATAATAATAACAAAGATGAGGATAATAGTCTGCATATAAGTAATGTAAATAAAGTCTCTTTAATCTTGTTCTTATGCATTTCAGACATATGCTGACATTCTAGAACAAATTTGAAATCAAATTCGGACTTTTTGATTGAATCTAAAACAAACACTTTTACCCCAGGATTAAAATCTTTGCTGCCTAGTGTTATTTACATTTGCTCATCATGTCAGAATGCATTTTAGTTTTCAGCAAAAGTATTAAGTGAAACGGAATTTGATAATTAAATATTTAAATTGAAAACAGGACTTGCCAACTAATATTCGCAAAGGAAAGGTCGAAAAGTTACATAGGTGCTGGTGACAGGGGCTAATATATCAGCTTCAGCGACAGCTAAACATTTGATTAAAAACCAACAAGGTGCTCGGTTTTGCAGCCTGGAAATTTTCTCAGTGCTGAGTAGGACTAATTCCGATTATCACTTGAAATTGTTGAAATCACTGTACATTAAGTCCTCCCAGCCAACTCTCTATAAACAGTAGAAGTGGTTGGTGGGCTTAAAGGTAATTAGCCTTTAAGTATTATATTTCCTTGTATATAACATTTATCTGGGTTTGTATATTTTTCTTTAATTGCTGTGCACATATTTTTTTGTCGTCGATTTTTGCCCTGAGAAGTGAGGACCAATAATTCAATTTCGGTGATTTTAATAAAATTCTATATTTCTGCATTACGATTTTACGGTAATATATATTTTTTGTTAACCCCTCATATTTTTTGCTATGAATTGTTTTTTCTTTGTTTTATAAATTGTTTTTTTTTTAATATGTCGGCTTTTATCGCTCAAGAAAATTTTTTACTCCTGCGAAAATATTTGGATTTTTATGTCTGTGAATTTTCACACGATTCCTCATAGTCTTAGATAAGATATGTAAACGTATGCATGTTTAAGATCTTCGTCTAAGAGAGTTGCTGACATTTCACTGAGA